AAAGTTATTAAATGCTCTAATGGACAAAAACAGAAATGCGCACATACATTCCTACTTAATGAGTGAGCATCTATAAAAGAGTAAACTTCCATAAATGTCTCTCTTTAACTGCTTTCTTCCATCTATTATCATCAGAGGAGAGCTGTTTTTTAACAAGAGAAAACCCTCAAAGTATTTATAGGATGGTGATCAATAGTAATTAAGTCAGCAATGGAGATGTCTTGAGGTTCTAATCAAGGAAAAAAAGGGCAAGAGGTAGATGGACCTATTTGTTGTTAAAACGAACGTGGAAGCCAGGCATTAGGATGCATGTCTATAATCCAAGCACTGTGGAAGGCTGTAGCAGAAGGATCAAGACCCTGTCTCAAAATTTAAAACATTAAAATTAAAATTGAAAAACGGCTGGGCAAGTAGCTCCTTATGAAGGCCCTGAGTTCAGTTTCTAGCAAAATACACACACACACACACACACACACACACACACATGGAGAATACACTAAAGAGAAAATCAAACACATGTTCAGTAGCCATTAAAATCTCCAAATGAATTCCTCCATATTTCCCTGCTTCTTACAAATGAATTTGGAAAAAAAATGACTACAACTAACCCTACGTGCTGAGTACTGACATTTTTATTGTAAGTGACCCTGGTTTAATAGAACATGACTGTAACACACACACACACACACACACACACACACACACATACAAACACACACACACAGTCAGTCATATTATCCTGACAAACTCCTTCAGCACCTCTACAAACCAATACCAATAGGTCAAGTGATTTTGAGTAAGGAACAGAAACAATGTTTGTACAAAGTTCTACTTTGCCTAAGTACAACACACCTGTGAACATTCACACTGATGCACATAGGTTGAGAATCTTTTATCAAAAAAGCTTGGGATCAGCAGGTTTTGGACTAATAGTTTTCCAGATTTTGGCATATATGAATATATAAAATGAGATAAATGGAGGGCGGGACTCAACTTTAAACTAGAAATTTCTTTATTTTTCGTATGTACCATAGCATGAAGAAATTTTATACAGTCCCTTTAAAGTGCCTGCAGTTTGACAGCCACTGGTTACAGGCGGTCAGGCCCAGAATTTTCCACTTGTGGCATCATGTTTGCTCAAAATGTTCTGGATGTTGCAGTAGTTCTGATTTTGGACTTTGTGATTAGGGATGGTCAGCATCTATTTCAATAAACTTTTTAAAAACAATGATATGAGATATGAGCCTGGAATTAGTTAAATTACAGCAGTCTGGAAAGAAGTTGGTGAGGATGATTGATAGTACTCCATAATGTTGCATTTATCTTTGATAAATTTATAGATTCAATAAGCAAGGTATTAGGTTATAAATGGTTTCAGTGATTAGTTTCTTAGTTTGGCTGCAAATCAAGCACAGATTGGATATTCTGCAAAACATGTTTTGCTTACTACATTTAATCCATCAGCAGCCAGAAGAAAATAGTTAAGCAAAGCTAAGAGATGAAGAATGTTGACCATGCTTTTGTTGTACTTTAATGAGTGTTTAAAATTACCCTTTTCATAAAAGACTACTAAAACTGGCTGTCATAGCACCTCATGAATTATAATACCAGTCAGGTAAAAGATAGATGGCTAGAAGAACTAGACAATCTAAGGGCATTTTAAATTCTGCAAAAGTACACATTCATGGAAACGACTGAAACTTTAGCACAGAAGCTAAATGAATAACTATAAGAGTCATATCACTATACGTGAAAACAATACCTATAAAATTTACCTATAAAATTTTAATGACTTAATAAACATTTTTAAAGAGCTCTAGTAAAATTCAGGGAAATTACTCTATTTGTTTCTTCAAATTATTTTCCTACATAGAAAAGCTGATTAATGAGTCAAGACAAATTTCAAAAATGAGAGTTCAATTTCCTTGTCCAAATGGTTGGTTAAGGAGCTACATTCAACAAGTCATAGCAGATTCCCCAAAAACACACATAGAAGTGGTGATTGAACAATTTCAACCAGAAGTAGCTTTGTAATGTTGATCCCTTGCCTACACGGCAAAAATGCTTTCCCTCCTCCTTTAGCATTATACTAAACACTAGTTTGTGAGAATAAAGGATACATTAGAACATTTTATCATACAATATATTTTCAAGTCACACTCTGATGTAATTTGCCTCCTATCCAGGCCTTTGTGTTTGTATTGGAATATTATAAAATTTGATTTTTGAAAGCATATGTTCATATCATAATAAATCAAAGTAACTATGCATATGGAATTAGAACTATTTTGTTTTGAAATTCACCATTGGTCATAAACCTTACGAAAATCATCATGTATCCCCAGAGTTAAAAAGTGTTTTATTTGGAAATTTGTGCTTTCAGTCTATGAAATTAAGAATATGTATGGTTAATTATGAAAACAAATATTAACATTTATGTAGCTCCCATCTCTGTGATTTGGGTATATCTTTAGTTTATGAAGGCACACAATATTTGCTTAGAGTTTTACGATCTTATGGAACCCCTTCATTAACATTCACAGAACCACTAGTGTGAAGGTTTCCTATTTGAGTTTGCTCTTCTGAATATTAGACTATTCTAAATAAAAATGCCTTTAACGTTTTTAAATGATGTTCCCTCGTATTTAGTTTATAAAAATAAACTTTTTTAGCATTAAACTTTGAAATTTACATTTCTCAAGTACACATGGAAGGCAGCATTAATTTGTATATAAACTTGCTCGTGTTGTTTTCTTTTCTTTTCTTTTTTTTTTTTTTTTTTTCGTGTTGTTTTCTATGCAGGCTGCTTTTTACAAAGGCAAAAACCCTAAACAGCGAGTCTAGGAAAAGATACTATGTTGTAAATGTACACGTGTGCTTTGTTAAGTGCAGTGATGCTCTGGAATGACGCTTCAAAAGCTCCTAAGGCCATCGTTACCCAAGAAGCATTCAGTGCTATTTCCTTGATCAGTCTCATAATTAGGATACAGTTCAGTTTTTATTGTATGGAACCCTGGAAAACTTGGATGGGAGAAGGATCCCATTCCAGGAAGAGGGTTCTCTGGCCTCGTCAGTTGCATTTTCCTGCACAGTGACTCTGTGAAAGCAGAAACAGTTCCTGGGTGATATGAGTTTGTACAGTTCCAACTGTCAGAAAGCTGGGGTTTGAAGAAGAGGGAAAGGCACGAATGATGAGCACGGACGCTGTCAGACTGCGAAGGGCGTCATAGGTCAGTTTAAGAAGACCTCTCAGGCCAGCCCCAGCTGCAGCTCAGCTCCACGCCTCCTTCTGATCTTGGCTGACAGCTGTGCTGGTGACAGATCGGAGCACTGCATTGTAGCCGTGATCAGCAATCAGCCTCCTTCCTAGACAACGGCAAGTTTCCACCACGGATTCGCCCTTATCTCTCCGGGAAGGAATGAAGTATAGTCTGGTAACCAAGAAAAGCCCTTGAGAGCAAATTGCAGGTGTGACCCCAGCGCCTTCTCTCTCTTGCCAGAGGGACCGCTCAGCAGCCCTAGGGTGCTAGGCTGGAGCAGGGGGTTTCCCTGTCACTCAGTTTTGTATTCCTTACCCTTCCAACCCTTATCTTCAGCTTCTTACTGATTACAGGAAGTTCAAGTAAGGGTCCCTTGTGTCCTCGGGGTACAATTATGAGCCTTCAATGCAAACCCAGCACAGGCAGAAGAGAGGCGACTTCCCTTCCTTCCTGTGACCGGAGCACCTGCCTCTGCAGACTCCCCCTAAGGACTGCTGGTTACGCGATGATCTTCCTTATTCCCAACACTCCTCTGTACCTTTGTTCAACTATCATCGAGGGGTGTATTTATTTTTTCTTGTGGGAAAATTAACAAAGGTCTTTCCTCCTCGTTACTCCTCCCAGGTTGGAGTGTGTATCCATTCAGCAGAAACCACAGGGAACATTTAAGCTCCAGATCACTGCCCCAGGATTCCACAGCTTCTCGGAACTGGAACTTTGAAGCCAGAGAAGCAGAGAGTCCAGGGACATCGGAAAGCCCGACACTTCCTCCTCCTCCGGCCGTTTCCTTCCCTAGTCTAAACCAGCTTGCTCTGGTGGGCGTCTGCTGCCAGGGTAGCCGCGCCCCTGTGGGCACCTCCTGCCCATCGCTCCTTCACCCCTTCCAGTCTACCCACTCTGAGCAGCTCTCAGCCTGGGTGCCCGCCCTCCTCTGCCGCCCCCTCCTGTCTACTACACCCCAAGACCTCTAGAATAGTCAGGCTTCCCTCTTACCGCCTGATCTGGTCACCAGAGAAGTTTTGCACCCCCGGGAACTAAATGATTCCCTCCCAAGTCAGGCAAAGCATCTCTCAAAAAGTAGGCAAAGATCTCCATAAACTTTGGAGCCACGGACTCTCTCGTGTCAGTGGGCGAGTGCGTGAGCACACACCTGCTTGCACAGAGGCACAGGTACACCAGCCCCAGGCGGGGCGCACACAGCCTGCCACTGGGCAACAGTAAGGGCGCATTACACCCACTCGCCATAACCCGCAGGGACGCGTGGTGCTGATGGGGGATCAAAATAAGAATTTCAAAATGGGCTTGGGCAGCTGGGACCAGAAAATGGTGATTCCTAAACACACGCATGCCTCGGAGTCTGCACCAGAGCGAGCAGTTCTACCCAGAGGCGCACACTTTGGAGAGCGGGCAGACCTTCCTGGAGTCGCGGTGTAGGATTCTCCTCCCAGACACGATTCTCTTTGGAACTGACAAGCCCTTGCCTCCCGGACTTCTCGGTGCGGTCCAGACCAGCCCCGCGCACCTGACCGGCACCAGGGCGCTCCCGTAGCCCCGGGCTCCGTTCCCACATCGCCCAGGCAGGTGTGGGCCCCTCGCCCGGCTAAGCAACAAGCGGACCGTCCGCGAAGGGCCGGCGTCTCTCCGCTTCTGTCCCCGCACGGGTCACCTCTCCCCGCCCCCACCCTCAGCTGCCACCCGGGCCCCAGGAGCGCAAGGGAAGGAAGACCGCGCGGAACTCACCCCCAGCTTTCTGCTGCGGATCTTCACGTAGCCCTGCTTGACGATGTCGTTAAAGTTGGAGGCCATGGCCGGCGCGGTCCGCTCCCGGAGTCGGAAGCCTCCGTCTGCCGCCGGGGCCGCGCAGGTCTCGCATCCAGCCAGGCACCTCAGCAGCCGCGCCGCCGCCAAGTCCAGC